CACTTTAAAGATTATATATATATATAGAAGAGAATAACGCCTAGGTGAAGTAATTTTATACTTGAGTCGTGCGAGAAAAAGAGAAGGTAGAAAGGCTAGGCTATGGATAGGCAGGGGGAGAGGGGAATAGCAATCTTTGAATAATCCTAAAGAATGGAAGAGGGGAACCGAGCAAGGATACAGAGCAGTGCGAATCATAATGCGAAGGGAATGAGCCGAAACTATACAGAGGGTTCATTATTGGTCACTGCATTAGTTCTGTGCAATAGAGAATGCCCCTGTTAAAAAATGCATCAACTATTATAAATGTGCAAACCTACGACGCTCGAGAATGTTTTAAAATATTATAAAACAGCACACAGGCTTTTACTCTGTTTATATATCTCAATTTGCTCTTTGTATTTTTTTCTTTCTTTGTGTCAATCTGTTTTTGTGCAGATTCCTGAGCAAATTTAAGATGCGAAAATAGCATAGGTAACTGCTAACTGTTAACTGTACATGATTTTATATCATTTGTTATTGAAGAAATCTGCCAAAGTATGCTGGCGCCACTTTAAAAAAAAAAAAAATAGAACTGGGTTTTCTGATAAACACTCGATTCTTATTTGTCGCATGTCACGAAATTGCTGAGATTACCGAAAAGTCGTTAATTTACTTAAGTGGAATACCTCAAGAGCAAAAATAGAGAATTATCTGATTCTTAAACTTGCTATTTTTCTCTTTTTATTCTGTCGCCATCACTTCTCTATATTTGCTTTTTTGTGTCATTTTCGTAAAAGATTGTAAAAATGAAGAATGAAGAAGACTGTGCTGATGGTATTTCCTTTAGGAATTATAGAACAATGAACATAGCTACAAACTCATTTGCGAGTAAATCTTAAAAATAGAACAAAAAATTACTTTATTTTTTACAGTAAGTAACAGATTAAATTAGAAAAAACTTTGTGCGCAAAATCGTGATTGGTTTTATAGTGAAATGGTATAACTTCAAAAGTTTGAAACTTCTTTTCTATAGTAAAACTGCATATTATTGAACATATTTTACACTTTCTCTAAAAACGAAAATGAAAAAGCTATTAAAGAAAATTTTGTAAAATTTGTTGAATTTAGGTTTGACTTCAAAAAGTCTTTATGCTTTTTTTTGCCTAACAAGAGGTAAGCATTAGAAAGAGGTATTATTAGAGTTTTATCTTCGAGTTGCAGAAGTAAGTGGAAGACAGAAAAAGATTCAGAAAAAAAGTCTTATCTTTGAAAAATAGAATAATCAGAGAAAAGTAACTAAATTGGACACGCACGCATATATATATATATATATATATATATATATATATATATAGTTTATATATATATATATATATATATATATATATATATATATTATATATATATATATATATATATATATATATATATATATAGGTGCTGTGCTTAAGAGTGCGTATTTTTGTTTGTGGTCGTCCCCAAAATCCTTACAACTTTTTGGTTTATCAAACAGCTTTTGGTTGTATAATGTGTCGGAAATATTTCTTATTTGAATGCTAAAGAATGCGTAAGGATAGCGTTTGATATGGCACGAAAATGAGATGAAAATTTGGTATTATCTGTGCAGTTAGACTTAAAAAAAAAGAAAAAATAAAAAAGCTTAGAATAAAAATAATAAATCCTCGAGTTTGCAAATCTTGACGTGACAGCTACTGTTTTATTAGTAAGGTAAAGTTATTTAAAAGTGCTGTTGCTAAGCAGGTCGAAATGGAACAGCTAATGACAACTGTCTCCATGAAAGAAGTGGTTTTGCATATTATACCTTGAACTACTATTGGTAAAAGGGCTTAAACCACTCTAAACGTAAATGAGTGCTCTAAGTAATATAGTACCAAAAATATTTACTAAAATATTGACGATGCTAAGTATTCAAATAAGTTTACAAAATGTCATAGAAAAATATCGATAAGGCGAAAAGCGAAGGTTTTTTTTGTTTATGTGGAAGAAATCGTTCAGCGTTTTCTGCCACATTTGTGCAACTGTTGCTTGCTCATCGCTGTGCTGTCGCTTTTTCATAGTTAATACAAAATTATTCGTTTATTCGAAATTCTTGAAAATTTTTGCTGTTTTTCAGTTTTCTCTCATTTTTCAAGTGTTTTATTTTTTATTTTTTATTTTTTTGCTTAACCATTTGTAGCTTGAGCTATACAAAGTCTACGAAGCTTAATGAAAAAAAAAACAATAAAATGAATTTGGACGTCAGAACTATTGTTCTTTTGCACTAATATTAAAAAAACTGGAAATTCTTTTCAATTTTCATATTTAGGTCAACGGGAAAAGTAGAATTTAATGATTTTAATAAACTCTTTGTTCGAATATATCGCATAATTCTGTTTCTCTGTAAATGAATTTTCTATCTTATTAAAAAAGTGCGCTCAAGAAAGTGATATTATTATTATTCACTTGGCATATGGTCGTAACGAAAAAGTGAGGGAGTACAATCAAGCAAATTTTTGAAAGCTCTAATGGGTAGAAGAATGAGCGCTGAATAAAAAATGTCAAACAAATAAGTTACACTGTTTATTACCCAAATTTGTCATTTAAAATGTACGAAGAATGTCAAGAAATCGAAGTTTTTACCCTTCTTCTCGTTTTTACGCTCTCTTTTCTTTAATTTTTTCCTGAAATTTTACATCACTATACACAAAGTGAAGCTTTTGAGGAGATATGAAAGGAAAAACCGATGACGACAACGTTGGTAGTTGCTTTCTGCCTGGTTCCCGAGCACTGCTTTCTCCCGTGGAGGTGGGAAACTCGACAAGTGAGGGCTGTAAAGGAAGAGACAGGAGGAGGGAGGTGGGGGTGGAGAGGGGTGAAGCTGTGTTACAAGTACAATCTGTGCAGCTACGGCCCTGAAAAGGATGCTTTTTTTGACGTCTTATGATTTTATTGACACACAGCGGCAGAGTTCTTTGGAGTAACAGAAGCACGAAGAAAACTTGCTTTTTCAAAAGATGCCGAACCGAGGTCTTTTTATGATTATATGCTCGATACACCTTGCAGCTTGACACTAGATGACTACGATTCTCAAACTTTTGCTCCCGACAAACGGCCTTAGCGTCATTTATCGATGCCGCCTGACGTTGATTTGCTGGTTTTGCTGAAAGCAACAGCGAAATGCTGGTAATAGAGTTTTCAGGAAGTGACTGCTCTCCAATAGATATCAGAGCAGTTTTATGTGTGTTTATATATCATTTCTGTCGTTGTGTTTGTGTGTGTGTGTTTTTTTT